ATTCGTCGATCTGCTAGCTAGCTAGGAGTAAAAGAAACTGCAAAGCTAAGCTTGTGGCTGCACGTCGCAGTAGAAGCGCATCAGGTGCCTTCCACACACAGGAGACTTGACTCCGTCGGTCGATGGGAGTATTTCTTGGGTTGGGTCTCTCCCGCACGCTCCACACGCATGCATGTACCTACCAGTTTTTTCTGCTTGGGTGTGAACTCATCTTCTCATTTTCTTGTTTCAGGACTCAGGAGTCAGGAGACGTTGACTGAAATATAACGTGGACGCAAAAGCCTAATAACTCTATGGATAGATGGAACAAACTAGGTTCTGCAACGAGACCAATATTTGATTGTTTGGGATCAGAATTTGGGTGCTTCAACAGGTGACGTCTAGCCATCTAGAATTCAAAGAATTCTTGAGTAACAAATCAAAATAAAATGCTTACCGGTGTCACAGGAGCTCAAGAATGGAGATTAGCTCTTGGAGACAATCTCTCTATTTCTGACTATTTGCTATTATATCAGAACTTAGACCAAATGAGGAGCTGTGGCAAATTACATCACTATCCTTGTTACATATATATGCCAATGGTTTCTCCATATTTAAGTACTCATGTGAGTACATTATATTAACGAAAGATGCCGTGTTTTATATTGTGAGAATGATAAATATTTGATAGAAAGATTCAACTAGCCATGTGTTGGACTACAGGTTAATTAATCCAAACACGGGACATCCCTCTGAACTGTTGGTCATAAACATTAAACAACATGGCTATGGCGCTACTTCTGTCGTTTTAGATTACTTCTTGTTCAAGTAAATTTTAGACCAAATAAGGAGATGTAGCAAATGACATTGTTATCCTCATTAATTACATCAAAGTGTTTTTGTTTTCAAATTAAAGAAACCTTGTGACTACATTGATGAAGGGTGGAGTGTTTTAGAATGTGAGAATGACAAATATTTTGATAGAAAAAATTGAATGCTATAATGATAAGTAATATGAAATGGAGGAAATATTTTATCGTTGGCTCAATGCACGCACAAATGTCAAGCAATAGTTAATTAGTTGCCAATAGAGATAAAGTAGTGTTGTAAGGCATCAAATGAATATGGCAGATAAAGATATCTCCTTAACAGAGAGGGAAGCATGGCAGCACTAATTAATTAGTATTGGCCACATTTGCTTCATCCATGTACCTGAACAAAAGGTCGAAAGATTGGACATAGAAGCATCACAAACCAACCCACAAGATAAGAGGAGTCCTACGGTTAGATTTGAAACAACAAGGTGCCTATCTGGTGGCTCTTCTCAAAACTAAGGATGCAATAATGCCACTCTTTGTAGTGGTCACTGCGATCATGGTGTTGGTCATGCCACTCTGCTTCGCTCATCAAGGACGTGGAGAATCAGTTATATGTAATTTAACAATTCTGTTTATATCCCTTTTTTCTTGTCATCGACATGATTGTTCTTTGATTATTACTTTACGTTTATTTTGCAGTGGATTGCAATAAAGATGCCAGGATGTACTCTTGGCAAGTGCCAGCAACTGTGTCTCGTTGGGGCACACCAATTTTACAGAACATTGCTACACCGCAGTCGGTGTCCTAGCGTGCTGCTGCGAGTACAACAACAGAGAGTAGTTCTGATCACTAGGAATGTTTAGGACTAAGTTTAAACTGCATGTATACTGATGAAATTGGAATAATATCAAATAAATATAACATATTTTTGCTCATCCGTTATATCTAATTAAAGTACTACACTACTACAGGAAACTTAACCGAAGCGGGAGAAATGGCTTAATCGAGGCGGGCATCGCAACTGCCTCGGTCCAAAGGTCATGGTAAATGCGACCTTTTTCGAGGCGGTTGGATGCCCGCCTCGGTTAATCGAATAAACAAAACAAAAACAAAAAGAGAAACCTGTGGATAAGCCCAGTGAGCTAATCCACGGGCCCGACGAGCCCATCCAGGCACCGTCGCTCCGCTCGTCAGATCTGCACCTCCGCCATGCCAGCTCGCTGGAGGAGGTCACCCCCTCGCCGGATCCGGCCGCTGCTCGCCAGATCCGGCCACCGGCTTGCCGGATCCGGCCGCTGCTAGCCAGATCTGGCCGCCAGCGCCTGGATCCGCCGAACCCACGGTTGACACCAAGATTTAGTTCAAGAAGAAGGGACCTCAAAGTCCAAATCCGTCAAAGGAAAGCCGAAATATTCAGCAAGGATCAGCTAATCGGATCGCTATCAAGATGATGTCATCGGTCCGAAGGGATGGGCCCTATCGACAAAATCAACAAGGCATAGAGTAAGAGGACATGTCGGGCTCCTTAGAAACGAAAGATTGAAGTCCAAGTTATCTTAAATTAGGAAGTTTTGTTCGTTTTTCCAAGTTTTCATAACCAGTCTTGTTCGACCAGGACTCGAAGTCAGGCTATGGGTATAAATATTGAACCCCGGCCATTGTAATGGACATCTCGCATCGATCAAACAAATCCACTACCTTTACCTTTTCGGCTCCGGCCACCCCTTAGGAGCAGGAGTAGAGTAGATTTCAGCGAGTTCTTCGGGCAAGCAGGGCTGCATCGGATGACCTGACCTCTGGCTTGTTTGAGAGTATCCGTCACGACTTATATTGTTACTTGTAAGGCTACAATAGACGACTGATCTCTTGCAAGTCGCGGTATAAGTTAGTTATCGATCTATATTGTTATTTGTAATGCTACAACAGATGACTGATCTCTTACAAATCGCGGTATCAATTAGTTATCGATTCATATCAACTTTTATAAGGCTGTAACAGACACTGATCTCTTGTAAACGTTGGTATTAATCAAAGTTATCGATATTGTGTCAGATAGTTTGCTGTTTAATACAATATCACCAATTGGACGATCTAGATTGAGATTCGTTGGTTCTATCCGTTTTGATCTATCGTCTGCTGATTACTATCGCGGTTGAATTCAATTTCTTACGTTAGATCATGTTTTAATGACCAATCCATCTCGGTCCTCATCATACATGATGGGTGTTTGAAGTCGTGTTCCATTAGGAGATAGATCCATTGTTCACAAGTATGCAGTATGACTCCGCTATTAATGTTGCATCAGACGACTCAACCTGTTGATAGCGTGTCAGATTGGACACTAGCAGTTAGTAGATCTATCTACTAAGAAGAGTATGGTCCTCACCCCTTAATTGTAGGGTCGAATTGACTTGTTAATTGTAGGGATTGACTGGCACGCCCTAGGTCATGACTATCCGGTCTGGTGCTCACCCCTTAAGCCCAGAGAGAGCTCGGGATCTGCTCCGCCCAGTTTCTCTCGGCTCGCCATGGGGGAGAGGGAGCCTTGCCCACGCCTGGAGAAGCCGGAGAGGAGCCTTACCCACGCCTGGAGAAGCCGTAGGGGAGCCATGATCCGCTCCTAGAGAAGCCGGAGGGGAGCCTTGCCGTAACCGCCTGGAGAAACCGCTACACCGCGCGAGAGGGGCCGCGCCGCCCGCGCGCCCTTGCCTGCGATGCCCCGCCACCTGTGCCTGAGAGGGAGAGGGAGACCACCAGCTCAGAGAGGGAGATGGGGAGTGGGAGAGGGAGAGGTGTGGCTCAGAGAGGGAGAGGTGCGCGCTCGGGGAAGAAAGGGCACCGCATCCTATCGGGCTTTGGGAGAGGGAGCTGGGAGAGGAGTGGGAGATGAGAGAGGAAACCCTAACTCGTGATTTTATACTTGGTCGCGCCTACGGGCCTGGGCCTGGCCTTGGCCTTTTTTCCGAGAGGGGCCTTATAAGTGGCCCGCCTCCGAAAATGGGGGGTATTTTTGGAGGCGGCCCACTTATAAGGCCCACCTCGGTTAATAGATTTTAGGAGCCATAACCGCCTCTGTAAATCAATTTTGCATGGCGGTTGATTGTAACAGCCTCGGTTAATCCCAGGCATTAACCGAGGCAGTTGAAATTTAAGATTCAAACTTAATCTGAAAAATTATATGAAAATGACAAATTGTAGGTGCAAAGGCACTTTCCTAGGAATTTTGTCCTCTAGTGCATATGCACCTGGAATTTATTATTTTCATAATATGAACTTTTACAAAACTATTTTGAATATCAAATTTTGCAGCAATGTACATATATAGATGCACTATGGTTGTGCATAGTTTCAATTTTTTTGAGACTCCAAACTATGTTTTCTAAAAGTTTTTCATGCTGATTCTACTGAGTAGAGGGTTTACACTGAATATTTTTCCTTTCATAACTGGAGTGCAACTAAGCTATTGGTTTTCTACGCGCCACATCTCTACTATAAGGGACCAATCTAAACTATTTTAGGTACACTAAATAATGCATCCCCCGCTGAGGGAGCCAACCATTGTGCACCAATAAAATTGCACCCAAGATTTTAACATCATTAAAATCTATGGCTCCTAATCCTCCCTCACAGGCTTCAACTCGATCCGATGGCGAACGTTATTTGGATCTCCCCATCCTCCAGGCTTCAACGCGCAATCAGGTGGAAACAAAATCACCGTCGCACGCGTCTCCGCTTCCCTTCCTCGCAAGGCCGCAACCCCTCCCCGAAATCACGCACGAGCGGGGGAAAAAATTTCCGTCAATCACGATCACGCCCGCATCTCCCCCTCCACCCAAGGCCACAAGCCCGCAGCCCCTACCCGTTTCTCAGAGAAATTGTGTGGTTCCCGTACCCGGCAGTGCGACACCGCAGCCTCCGCCGTTTCCCTGCCCATCCACCGTAGCTCTCTCCTCTCATCCCCTCTGGCTCCCCCATCCGCTGCCCTCCCCAATGCACGCTCTTCGGCGGGGACCGACAGCCGCGTAGCAGTCTAACGCCGCCATTGACCACAAGGCAAGATGGGCAACAGCGACGCCGCATCGCCCGCATAGGCGGCCGCCGCGCGCGACGCCAAGAAGAAGAGGGTAAGAGGGGGCTGTTCGCCGTGCGGTAGCTCCTAGATCCTGGGCGCCTCCGCCTGCCTCGACGGCAGCAGCGCCACCATGAGCGCGAACAGCGCCGCCTTCGCGGCCAGGTTGGACGGGAACAGCAGCGCGAGCACCTGCTGCAGCCACGCGGACGCGGAGACGTCGCTGGCTGTCGTCTTCAGAGTGATGTCTCTGGTGTGATTCCTGGTTTGATTTGGTTTGGTTTGATTGCGCAGCGTGCTGATCTGATCTGAGTTTTTTTTTTGTTCCTTTCAAGGAACCGCTCGGCGGCGAAGCTGAAGCAGAGCAAGAGCTTCTGTCCAAGCAAGAGCCGCCGAGCAAGAGCGAGACGCCGCCGCGGGCAGTTTCTGTCCACGGGGCTAAGGTCTGATCTCATGCCTGGTGCACTGCTGCCGTCGTGGTCGCTGCTCCTGCCGCCGCCGCTACCGAAGCCGAGGAGGCCAAGAAGAAGGAGGAAGAGGAGGAGGAGGACGTCGGCCTCTTCAACCTCAGGGACAGACACCGTCGCTCCCTGCCGCGGCGCACACGCTCGCAGCGCGGACGGGTCCTGGACGGTTCTTCCCGAGGCCGGCCGCCGCTACGTTGCACTGACTCCACCCGTTTCCGCGCCGGTTGCAGTGGTCGAGACCCACGCCAGGCCAGCGGGCGACGCCAAGGTAGCCGAGACGTGGGGTGCGCCCCACGCCATCGTCGCTACTTCGCTCGCCGATCGTGCCGCCGACCCCTTGAGCATCCTTCTCCGTGCCTCCTTGCCTACTGACGCTTTATTATCAGATTCGTTGATAATCAAGGTTTGCCTCTAATTTTGCGTTATGTGTGCTGCTCTTCTGCAGGTCTTGGCTGTGGCGAGGAAGAACGGCTGGTGAGTACCTACAGCTCTTAGAATTGATCCCCTCGCCGCATTGCACTTTCTTTCATCTGATTATATCGTTGCCTCCAACTTTTTTCAGGGAAGAGCACACTTTTTTCAGAGAAGAAATCCTATGCTTAATATAATATCAGCACAGGCGAGAAAATTTGAAATACAAATCACTAATGGATTAATGGGTGAACTTGTCGCATATGTCCTTGGATGGTCCTCTTTTCTTAGCCCTGGTCATGTTGCTTGAATTGTGAAGCATAATCCTTTTTTTAAAAAAGAAGCTTTTTGATAGGTGCTACCTGGAGTTAAATGGTTACGACTTCAGATAATGTATTGTAATCTGATACATCAGCAATTATGCAGGCTATGACAGACATTGCAAAGGAGGGGCTTAAGGGTTACTGGAAAGGCAACCTTCCACAGGTGCTTGTAGTTCCCTATCATCCATGGTTGATCTTGCAGTCCTGTGCTGATTCCTATCCATCTCCATTAGCTTGTCCAGGTTATTCGCATAATTCCTTACAGCGCGGTGCAACTCTTCTCGTATGAAGTTTACGAGGTCATAGTTACGGTTACACTTAGTCATCAAGTTTTTTTACATTATTTGTGATAGTGAGTTCCTCATTTCTCTCTCACACAAGTCACAATGTTACTGCTTTTAATTCAGAAAATGTCGCCGTGGCATTAGCACGGACACTATACTAGTTGTAAAAGTAGCTTTTGAATTGATTCACCGTTATTATATTAATCTTCCCTTTGCAACTCAATAAACCATTAATTATGTTGCTGCATGCTGAGATATATCAAAGAGTTCTTCCGAGATAGACCGGAGAATCTATGCTACCAAATTAGTTTGGTAGTGGAATCCCGATTATACAAAATAATTGGTACATTAACAACACGCGACCTTGACTAAACATCTAAAGTACAAGATCCTATCATCATTATGCGAATATAGAACTACTAATTGCTGCTAGCTGTCTGGTAATTTGACACGCTAATCATATTAAATGTGTCATTTTCAACTTTCACAAGAAACAAGAGAAAAGAGGAAACGGGTGCAGATATATGCTAATTTATTCTGGAAATAAATATAATCCAGAAAGCACAAGAAAAGACTTTTTGGTTGCAGCACAAAATCATCTGGGCATGATCTTTACTACAGATGTACTATTCAAGAGATCATTTTATCACTAATAGTAGTATGCCCGTGCTAACGCTACACTAACTTTTCAGTTGTGTTCAAATTAAAACCAAAACTCCCTGACATCGCAACGACCAATTTAATTAGTGGATGATCAGTTGATCACTCAAAACCTTGCCTATATTTTGAACTTCGTTATTACAGTCCACATGAAACCATGAATTGCATATTGTTAGGACAAATTCTGCACTAAATTCACCACATAAGTTTCCATGTTCTTGTTAATGCTAGTTAAAACAACAAACTAAAATAGCTTGCCATGCATGAAAATATAGTGCTGTTTTTTGGTCCTGTGTGATGCCTCTATAAACCAAATCAAAATTTGATATTTAAGTAGAAATTGCCTGTGCTTCATAGCCTATCAAGAGGGAAGGTACTTGAGTAATATAGCACTAAAATTCATCGCATGGCAGTTGCATTCCCTCTCCCTTTCTCAAAACAAAGGTATGTGGGTTCATCAATCAGAGGGGAATTTCATCTGAGATTCAAAGTTTTCCCTAATTTGAAACCCTAATAACATTGGCCGGGATTAGAAAACTCATGGCCCTGTGCCAACCTCCGTTAACACCATTAAAAGATCTTCCACTGTTAATTCACCACATGTGACAACTGTTAATTTTTCTCAGTGTGCCACATTGTAAAAATTATTCTCAGAATCACCGTCATTTAATTACTTAATTTATAATAAATTGTGTGTAACACGATAAAGTTTCTGCAATTTGGTTTTCCAGTGGAAACAGATCGGATTAGATATATTAATTGACACATTCAGGAAGGGAGACACAACAATGCATATGAAATTAATATTCTCATCTCGCCATGATGCTCCCTGTCCGCTAACTCGACAATCGACATGACAAGCGATTTAAGTGAGCATTTTTCAAAGACTTAACCAATCAAGAGAAAAGCTCAGTCGTCAAAAGTATGTTGCTGCCAAACCCTTGTTAATTATTTATATTAGTACATGTACAATTAAGATCTTATATATATCCTAGGGTTTAGGTTCAGTTGCTCAGGAAAGCCGTGAGAACTTGAGTGGTGGTGGAACGAACAGCATCGACCTTGACCCACTTTACTGGCCCCTATTTCACTGCAACTTCGGTTATATATTGTCCAATTTTCAAGACACACGTAATGTGACAAGGGAAATGTTTACCTTTATTCCAAAAGTGAACACGCGTTGATACACTATCTAGCTTAGCGCCAATGGTCACCAAACAGAAATATCATGGAACTCTCGTTGCCCTGAAAGTCCATAAGGATGTACATGGTGGAATCCGTGCTTTTCCGGTTTCAAATTTAATCAAGTGGAAGATAAAGAAATCGCTGCAAGAAATCAATCCATTTGCTGATTAATCTAGACTAGATAGCTAGGGTACGGTGCATAACAACTCATCTGTGTATGGATGCGTCCTGGAGATGAATTAAGTTTTTATATATTTGGCGCACATCAAACCTAACAAAAAACTTGTTGCATGTTGCTTGACAAGGAAAGCGCGTTCTTTCTTCTGAAAAGCTAAATATCGGCATCAAATCGATCACTGGCCAAAATGGGGCCTAGCTAGCTAATTCGTTTGTCTTCTGATCTTGAATTGAGGGCATGCAAAAGATCTGTAAGCTTAGCTGGCTCAGCGATAACATCTAGCTCATGCACACAGTACAGGGATCGATGCTGTGTTTGATTTATCATGTTTGTTTGACAATCACAATCGGAATATAATGGGAGTCGAAATTATTTCATCTAGAATCACACACAACATGACCGATATGATAGAGCGCAAGCAACCAATGGTGGTAATCTAGCTAGTGTGTTGCCTAATCAGACCAACTTTCCTAAGATATTATCTAGTGCGAGCTAGCTAGCTGCATGCCTGGATTGCAAAGGGTATGCTTGCAGTTTGCAGGTTTATTGAAAAGCGATGCATCAGGTGCCTTCCTCACTGGTTGAAAGACTTCAGTAGCTCCATCTCTGGGCTCAAGTAGCCCGTGCATGAACCCCAAAAAGGAGATACAATGCATCAATGACCATGACTTCTTCCCTTGTCTGAACAATTTTTTTCGCTTTTCCCCCTTTCAGGAGACAGGCTAAGATAGTCATGACTCATGATGGGATTGCCAGGAAAAATTTAATTCGTCGCTAGCTTTGTAACAAGACCATGATATGGATTATTCTCTCCGATGAGATTAACAACATTTTGATCCAAGAATAGGGTGATGATAGACTGCAGCTAATGCAAATACAGTCTTACTGCATTCTTATTTCGATCTTGTGTCATGTTTTGTTGAGCTGGTTAGAGTATGTTCAAAAGACACCCTACCTATTCTACCTATTGTTATAGGTGGTGATTTTAACATTATTCGTAAGTCCGGATGAGAAAAACAATGAAAACTATAGTGATAGATGGCCTTTTCTATTTAATGCAGTCATTGACACGCTAAATCTTAGAGAATTAGAGCTGACAGGAAGAAAGTTTACTTGGGCTAATCGCGTACAAAATCAGACCTTTGAGAAACTAGATAGGATTCTAGTTTGTATGGATTTTAAGTCTAAGTATCCGCTTTCAACTGTGGTTGCCTTGAGCAGAGACATTTCTGACCACACTCCACTATTATTTAGCACAAATAGTCCATCTTCGGCTTACCAACCCCAATTCAAATTTGAATTGGGTTGATTGCTTAGGGATGGTTTTTGTGACATTGTGCGAGATGTTTGGCTTAGTGTGATTGTGGAGGGCAGCCCATTAGAGAGGTGGCAGGGGAAGATCAGGAGACTTCGCCAGTACCTCAGAGGCTGGGCAAAAATGTGAGTGGGACTTATAAGAAGGAAAAAAAGGAACTGTTAGACAAACTCGATGAGCTAGACAAGAAGGCAGAAATATCTTTGCTTAATCAGACGGAACTAAATCTTAAACATGTGTTAAATGAGAGATTGGCTGAACTGCTGCATGAAGAGGAAATTAAATGGTACCAAAGGGCAAAGGTAAAACATATACTGGAGGGTGATGCTAATACTAAATATTATCATCTGTTGGCTAATGGTAGGCATCGAAAAACTCGTATTTTCCAATTAGAGGATGGCAACAATATAATAGAAGGTGATGCTCAACTAAAACAGCATATTACCAACTATTATAAAAACATGTTTGGTCCCCCGGAGAGCTCTTCTATAGTGTTGGAGGAGCACCAGGTCCAAGACATACCTCAAGTCTTTGATCTGGAAAATGAGTTTCTAACTGATGTGTTTTCTGAGTCTGAGGTCAGAGTAGCGGTGTTCCAGATGGAACACAATAAGGCACCAGGACCGGATGGCTTTCCACCTGAGTTCTATCAGGTCTTCTGGGATTTAATAAAAGACGATCTGATGGCTCTCTTTATGGAATTTCATGAGGGAACTCTGCCTTTGAATAGTCTCAACTTTGGTACTATAATTCTGTTACCAAAGAAGAAAGATGCGAAAGTCATTCAACAATATAGACCGATCTGTTTGTTGAATGTTTCTTTTAAGATCTTTACCAAAGTTGCGACTAATAGACTGTCTACTGTTGCCCAGGAGATCATTAGACCAACACAAACTGCTTTCCTCCCAGGAAGAAACATCATGGAGGGCGCAGTAATTCTCCATGAAACGATTCATGAACTCCACTCGAAAAAGCAAGATGGAATAATCTTTAAAATAGATTTTGAAAAGACTTATGATAAAGTAAAATGGAACTTTTTACAACAAACCTTAGTGATGAAAGGATTCTCTCAGAAGTGGTGTTCTTGGGTACAGCAGTTTACATAGGGAGGAAATGTAAACA